GGCTTGTCTCAGCTCCTTAAGTTTCACGTGGCACTTCTTCGGGTCCCTGTTATGGCCTCTGTCCTTCATGCCCTGGGAGATTTTGACAAATGTTTTGGCATTTCGAAAACTGGAACAGAGTTCTGATAGCACGGATTCCTCTCCCCATACAGTGATCAGATCCCGTACCTCCCGTTCGGTCCATGCTGGAGCTCTTTTGCGATTCTGGGACTCCATCATGGTCACCTCTGCTGATGAGCTCTGCATGGTCACCTGCAGCTTGCCATGCTGGCCAAACAGGAAATTGAAATTCAAAAGTTCGCGGACCTTTTCCTGTCTACCTGGCCAGTGCATCTGAGTTGAGAGTGCTGTCCAGAGCGGTCACAATGGAGCACTCTGGGATAGCTCCCGGAGGCCAATACTGTCTAATTGCATCCACAGTACCCCAAATTCGACCCAGCAAGGCTGATTTCAGCGCTAATCCCCTTGTTGGGGGTGGAGTCAGGAAATTGATTTTAAGAGCCCTTTAAGTCAAAAAAAAGGGCTTCGTCGTGTGGACGGGTGCAGGGTTAAATCGATTTAACGCTGCTAAATTCGACCTCAGCTCCTAGTGTGGACCAGGGCTGATTCAAACCTGATAAAAGGCACAGTATGCAGTTAGCCTGTGGTGTTCTCTGCCATACGATCATTTTGACACCAAGAGCTTAGCAAAGTTCAGAAAAAGGATTGGGCACTTATGTAGATAAAGAGAACATCAGAGTTAGAACTGCTGACCCTCCAAGAGTTTTTAAAGGGATTTAAATCATCTACCTACTGGAGCTCAGAAGGAAGTTTCCTCCCTGGTAAGTATCCTGTAACTGTCTACTGCAACATTTCTTGCACCTTTCTCTGATGCACTGGCCACAGTCAGAGACAGGATCCTGGATGGCTCACAATGGCAATTCCTATGCTCACCAGTGCCATATATAGAGGTGTGAAAAGTGACCCTCCCCAGCAGTGCTGCCTAGTGGTTATGTTGTCCTCCTCCCTGATGGTCCTCTTTCTTCTACCACTCCATCCTGTGGGATCTGTCCCTTTGTTTGTGGCTCAGTCCTTCTGACCTGCTCTGCTTTCCCTTTTAAACTCCACCTCCTGTTTGTGCTGGCTTTGCATATAAGAACATAAGAATGGCCCTACTAGGTCAGACTAAAAGTCCAGCTAGCCCAGTACCCTGTCTTCTGACAGTGGCCAGTGCCAGGTGTCCCAGAGGGAATGAACAGAACAGGTAATCATCAAGTGATCCATCCCCTGTCGCTCATTCCCAGCTTCTGGCAAACAGAGGGCAGGGACACCATTCCTGCCCATCCTGGCTAATAGCCATTGATGGACCTATCCTCCATGAATTTATCTAGTTCTTTTTTGAACCCTGTTATGATCTTGGACATCACAACATCCTCTGGCAAGGAGTTCCACAGGTTGACTGTGTGTTGTGTGAAGAAATACTTCCTTTTATTTGTTTTAAACCTGCTGCCTATTAATTTCATTTGGTGACCCCTAGTTCTTGTGTTATGAGAAGTAGTAAACAACACTTCCTTATCTACTTTCTCTACACCAGTCATGATTTTATAGACGTCAATCATATCTCCGTTTAGCCATTTCTTTTCCAAGCTGAAAAGTCCCAGTCTTTTTAATCTCTCCTCATAAAGATGCCGTTCCATACCCCTAATCATTTTTGTTGCCCTTTTCTGAACCTTTTCCAATTCAAATATATCTTTTTTGAGATGGGGCGACCACATCTGCACACAGTATTCAAGATGTGGGCGTACCATGGATTTATATAGAGGCAACATGATATTTTCTGTCCTATTATCTATCCCTTTCTTAATTATTCCCAGCATTCTGTTCACTTTTTTGACTGCCTCTGCACATTGAGTGGATGTTTTCAGAGAATTATCCACAATGACTCTAAGGTCTCTTTCTTGAGTGGTAACAGCTAATTTAGACCCCATCATTTTATATGTATAGTTGGGATTATGCTTTCCAATGTGCATTACTTTGCATTTATCAAGGTTAAATATCATCTGCCATTTTGTTGCCAAGTCACCCAGTTCTGAGAGATCCTTTTGTAGCACTTTGCAGTCTGCATGGGTCTTAACTATCTTTAGTAATTTTGTATCATCTGCAAATTTTGCCGCCTCACTGTTTACCCCTTTTTACAGATCATTTATGAATATGTTGAATAGGATTGATCCCAGAACGGACCCTTGGGGGACACCACTATTTACCTCTCTCCATATGGGGTTGTTTGGGCCCAGAGCTGCTCTCTAACCCTTTGTTCTCCAGTCTGGGGTTTGCACACCCCATCACAAGAGGTAACATCATTTTTCTCTGCCTGCTCAGTGTTTCTCTAGTTATCCATCCCAGGAGTAGACGAGTCCTCTTTGCTGCAGTGTTGCACTGGGACTTTATGTTCAGGTGGTATCCACCATGACCTCTATGTCGCTTCCAGAGTCACTACCTTCCAGGATAGAGTCCCCCATCCTATAAGTGTGGCCACATTCTTTGTTCGTAGATGTATGATGAAAGATCAGTGCACCAAGCTTACCTAGTTACCCAGATCGCTCTGTATCAATGGCCTGTCCTCTTTGCTATAGGCCACAACACTAGACTTTGTGTCATTGGTAAACTTTATCAGCAGTCATTTTATATTTTCTTTCCAATTATCGATAAAAGAATAGGGTGAGAACAGATCCCTGCAAGAGCCTACTAGAAATAATCCCATTAGATTCTAGTTTCCTATTAACAACTATACTGTGAGATCTATCAGTGAGCCAGTTTTGAAGCCACTAACATGGGCCATATTGATATTTGTATAGTGCCAGTTTTTAAATCAAAATGTCACTTGGGACTAAGTCACATCCATTACAGAATCTAAGTTTATTATGTCATCATAGTTACCTTTATCAGACAGATTTGTAATTTGCTCCAGGAACAATATCACATTTGTTTGACACAACCTATTTTCCATGAAACCATGTCTGCTGGTATCGATTATATTTCCAGCCTTTAGCTCTTTATTGCTAGAGTCCCGTATCAGTCATCTGCAACACGTATGTTAGCCCATGAAACCAGAAGGCCCATCCCCACCATGGGTGAGCAGCTGGGTTTGAATGCTGACCAAGTCTCTTCTCACTTAAAGCACAGTGTACTGTGTTCTTGTGAACTATTGTAACCCATACCATGCTCTGTGGGGCTCTGGCCCCCTCTACTGATGGAGTTTAATGAGTCTGCTACAGCCTTAGCAAACAGAGCTGGGTCATTTAGCTCAGGCACTAGAGGCTCCTGCTTTAAGATCTAAAGGGCCCAGGTTCAATTTCTGCTGTTAATAATGCACCCTGCTAAGCATGGTATTGTGTTATCATGGGCAGGTGGTTGCAGGAAGTATGCCCTGACAGTCCTAGGCTGGCTCCCTGAGAGGGGCTAACCCCATGAAGCCCTGGGCTGCTATGGGCACTCGTAGCTGTCAAAGCTGCCCAGGTATCAACCATCCATCCACATGCATCATTGGAAATGTAGCTCCTGGTTGCAGTTCACACCCGCCACCTCTCTCTGGTGAGCAAAAGGAGGAGCCTCCATCAGCAGCTGGAGCCGAGAGCCACATGCACAGCTCTGGCACATCCCATTTTGGCCAGTCGCTGAGATACCCTTCCACGGTGCTGAGTGAGAGGCTGCAGCTGCCCCCACATGCCTCCTCAGAGCACTGTGTGGACTGACTCTCCACAGAGAGGGAGCTCTGCCTCCCCTGAGAACAGCAATCTCCGGCTCTCATCCTCCAGGCAGCCCTGTGTGGCTGGGCCCCTGCCGGTCCCATGGAGGCCAGGTGGTGGAGGACTGAGTCAACGTGGGGCAGCTCTTGGAATCAGGGCCCATGTGAGGAAGAAGCCAGGACACTCAAATCAGCCTGACCAGCTGTGTCCTTCACCACGGGAGTGGGAGAGTCAAATGGTATCTAGGACTCTTTCAATAGAATCCACACACCCCAATAGGAACACATGTGCCCACCCCCTCTGATTTCCACAGGGCTTGGGCATCAGTCACCATCCCCTGTTCAGTGAGCAAGGCTAGAGTGAGCATGAACCTCTCCGTTAGGGCATGGTAAGTCTTTTGGCCCAGAGGAGCTCAGGACACTTACTCCAGGATTGCAGCAGTCTCTGTGTGACACTGGCTGCTACTGGGGACTCCTGCCAGGCCTGGGGACTCCTCCTGGATACCAGAGACACCCGCACTGCCAACTACAAGTCAATTACCTCCCTGCCCCACCCTGCTGAGAGGAGTCACTTTCCCTCATGCAGGATGGCAGCATGGAAGGTGCACAGGCATGAGCTGCTGAGGTGCAGTGATCAAGCTGTGTTGATGGGGTCTGGGTCTGGGATAGCAGGGTTTGGGTGAGGGGCATTGGCAGATCTGTGTGTGAGCCCAGGAGGGGCTGCGGCAGGTGCATTTGCAGAGATGTTACTGTGGGGGTAGGGGCCAGGCACTAGAGTAGCAGGTGGTGCTGCGGGCTGGGACAGAAGTGTATCTGGAGCTAAGTGGAGGGCACAGGCAGGAGAAGGGGCTGCCGGGATGTATCAAGAGTGGCTACATCAGCCAGGCTGTGTGGAGGTCCCAAGGTTTGCATAGCAGGGGGGTCTATGGGTCTACACCAGATACCAGACACCCATATTTGTGTGGGGTGCGAAGCCAAAGCCTAGAAGAGCAGGAGGTGCTACTAGAGATCTGCGGATGGGCCTGTTTTTTATACCAAGCCTATCACTGTGGTATCTGTGGTGCACTGGCATAGCTTTGGGGAGGTTCCAGGGCTGAGCTAGCATGTAGTGTGGTGGAGCAGGGCTGGCGTGAAGTGGGGGGAGCTTGTCCAGAGCTACCTGCGCCATGCCTGACCTTCTCCTGAGGGCCAGTACTGAGTTCCTCGGAGGCACTGAGCATTCTCCACACTCACTGGAGCAAACCGAAGGAGCAGCCAATGGTGTGTCTCGTTTCAGCTGTATGCCGTTATCCTCTGGGCATGTCAGGCGGCCACATCCCAGACGAGGACATCTCCGCTTCCAGTCAGTGGTCTGAATCCACAGCAGCCAAGTATGGAAGGTGAGGGCAAGCGATGCAAGGGAGCCGTGTGCCTTTCACATGGGGTGATTGGCTGTGTGGTATCACACTTGACCTATGGCAGGGGAGAGCTGCGTCACTGATGTTCTCAATAGCCATAGCAGGATTTCACTAGTGTTCCTGTTTTGTGACTGGCTATTGCTGGGCGAGGATCCTGTGCTGGGGCCCGGGGGCGTGTTCCATGAACCTGCAGAGTCTCACTCTGCCAGTGTCATCCTGCGTGTGCAGCATACCTCAGTGGCTGCCGCTCTTCCAGATTCCTCTGCCAGCCACCACTGCTCCTGGGTCCAGCACAGGACGAGGCAGGCTCTGCTGCAGCTGTAGGGAGGTGGAGAGCACTTCCCAGAAGCAAGCAGTGGGGCTGTGGTTCCATGGCAGCTGTGGGGCTGGCCAGTGATGAGCTTCCAAAATCTTAACAACCAGTTCCCTCCTCACCCCACAAGGGGGTCGTGGCCTGTCCCGTTCCCCCCCCCCGGACCCCTGCCCCATCCACCCCCCTTCTCTGTCCCCTGACTGCCCCCAGATCCGGGCAGGAGGGTCTCATGGGCCACTGTAGTGGGTGCCCACCCCGCCCAGCCCCTAAGAGCCAGAGGGACCTGCCGGGGGGGCGAGGTGGGGAGTCCTGGCAGTGCTTACCTGGGGCGCTCCTGGGAAGCATCCAGCAGGTCCCTCTGGCTTCTAGGGGCAGGGTAGCATAGCTAGGAGGAGCGGCTGCTTCCCCCACTGATCACATCAAAAGTGGTTCCCTAGGCGCCGACTCCATGGTTGGTCCGGGGCTAGAGCTCCCACGGGGAAAATTCCCGCCCCGCGCCGAGCCCCAGATCACCTCCGCCTCCTCCCCTGAACGCACCACCCCGCTCTGCTTCTCCACCCCCTGCCCCCGCTTCCTGCGAATCAGCTGTTTGCGCAGGAAGCCTGGGAGGGCTGAGAAGCAAGCGGCAACTTCGTGCTCAGGCCCAGGGAGGCAGAGGTGAGCTGGGGCGGGGAGCGGCTCCCCTGCACCCCCTGGGTTACCTGCTGCGGTGCGGGCAGCCCTCCTCGCACCCCCCCCTCCCCAGCTCACCTCCGCTCCGCCTCCACCTCCCTGGGCCTGAGCGTGAAGCCACCACTTGCTTCTCAGCCCTTCCCTCGCGAACAGCTGATTTGCGGGAAGGTGGCGGGGGGGCGAGCGGAGAAGGAGAGCGGGGTGGCGCGTTCAGGGGAGGAGGCAGAGGTGGAGCAGAGGTGAGCTGGGGCCGGGTGCGGGGCGGGGAGCTGCCGGTGGGGGCTCTGCACCCACCAAATTTTCCCCATGGGTGCTCCAGCCCCGGAGCACCCATGGAGTCAGCACCTAAGGCACCACTTTTGGCCGGTTAAATTTAGTAGCCCTTTTAGAACTGGTTGTCCCTCGCAGGACAACCGGTTCTAAAAGGGCTTCTAAATTTAAGCACCGGTTCTTGTGAACCGGTGCGAACCGGTTCCAGCTCACCACTGGGGCTGGCCCAAGATAGGGTTCCTGGAATGTGTTCCTGGGGGCAACTTTGTGGGGCCATGGCTAGGCTGCACGGGGCCAGCCCCTGCAGCAGTTGCCAGGTGCCATGGTGGCTGACAGCTTGGTCACAGGTTGAGGCCCCTACAAATGCAGGCTGAGGGCATGTTCAACAGCAAGAGGGAAGCTGCAGCCCTCTGCCTCTAGCAGTCTCCTGCCAGGTACCAGAGTGAGGAAGAGTCCAGCCAGCCACAGAGGGGAGCAGAGCGGAGATGGGAGCATGAGGAAGGTGCCAAGTGGACAATGGGGCTGGGGACCTGGGCTCAGACCCAGGGATTCTTGGGGTGAAAGGGGCATGCTGTGTGTCAGAAGACAGGGCAGATTTGCCCAAGAGTTTTGTAGTGAAAGTCATGCAGCCATGAGCTTTCTAACCTAGACCTTTCCCCAGGAGACTAGACCCAATGGGCTGTGTGATGCCTGCAGACCCAGGAAGGGCGTGTGGCCCTGGAGCTCAGCTGCATGTCAAGGGGCCTCCCTGAAGCCAGCATTAGCCATCACAGCGCTCTCTGGGAGTTCCCTCCTTCACTCTGGGCTCAGTAAAGGATGCTGCAAGAATGCGTGTGTTCATTTGTGAACGCATGCTGGGGAGGGTCCCTTGTGCTAGGAACACTGTCATGAACGTTCCCTCAGCTGGAGCAGTGACCCTGAGCCAGCGAGGAGTTCCTGACGGGTGGCGCTCATGCCGGGTCTCCTCTCCTCCCACCCATGGTCATCTTAACTCCTGCAGACAGGGCGAGATAAACCCACCCAGAACAGCCCTGTTGGCCTCACTTTCTCTGCTGGCCCAGCCCGCTCCTCGGAAGTTGCCTGAGTGTGAGAGGGCAGCTGCAAGAGAGAGGCTACACCCAGCATGTGCCCAGCAGAGGCTGCCCCAGGGCTGGGGTTTGACCTTGTGGCAGCCTGTCGCTCTGCATGGGGAGTTGGTAGCAGGATACAGTCTACAGCATGGTGCTCTTCCACTGTTCCTTCCTGTGGTACTGACAGCTCTTCCTCACCTGGTGCTGAGGGAAAGTCATGCATCATCTCTGGTGATTGGAGGGAGACGTTTCCTCCTGACCCCTCCCATCTCACCTCTCCATCTGGGGCTCTGCCCTGCCACCTTGGTTACCCAACAGCTTCTCACGTGGCAGGCCCTGCACGTTGTGTTTCTGCCTCTAGTGCCTGGTCCCTGACCCAGCTGTGAGGGCTCCTGTCGGGCTTGAGGCAGGGGCCAGTTTTGCATACATGCCATGCTGCTGTTGAAGGGCCAGCCCCACGTCAGAGGCAGTGAGGAACACTCTCCTGGGAACATGCCCATGGTGATACCCTCCAGCTCCTGCTATATATTATCCTGGTGCCGTCTGCCTGGCCCAGTGCAGTCCCATGTGCTTTCTGCCCTCCCCCACTTTGGGTAGCTAGTGCCCAACAGGTACCCACAAGTGAGGACTGGTGAGAGCAGGGACTGCAGTTGGGCCCCCTGGTGAGCAGGATCTGGGGGCAGTGGTGCTGTATTCCCCTCCTCTGGGCCCACAGAGCCCCAGGGCCCACACTGGCCCTCAGGCCTGGTTCTGGTGGGATTTCTGATGGGTCAGATACAGACCCTGCCCCCTGCTGGAGCCAGGGTCAGAGCAGGGGAGCACATAATTTGTGAGTGGGGAGGCAAGGAAACACCCCCACAAGACAGCAGGCAAGGAGAGCCGGGTGGCCATGATGGGTGGGTATGGGTCATGCTCAGAAACGGCACCCAGCACCAGCACTCCATATCCAGTGTGAGCTGCTAGGGGAACATGAGATGGCCCGTGGGAGGGAGAAATTCTGATTATGCTGCTCCTTGCCCAGCTCCACACTGGCCATGGGACTGGTGTCCCTATGGGGGGCCCAAGGCCAAAGCTCAGAACTCAAAGGGGGTCGGGGAACGCTCCTCCAGCATTTTATAATGAGAGAATTGAGACCTCAGGGCTTCAGGCCTAAGCTTGGCTGGTGAGCCCTCCCTACTGCAGGGCCCCAAATCTGTGAATCCACCCCCATATCCCAGCTCCTTGTGAGGGGAAGGACAGGTCCTCCTTGTGCTGCAGGTGAGTTAAGGGTTGGAGGCTGAGGAGCTGAGACTTTTCTACTTTGTTACTGCTGGTTAGAAGATTCCTGGTCAGTGCTAGGCCAGCCCAGGGGCAAGTGGGGTGGGCTGTGGGGAAGGCAGGGTGGGGTCTGACGCCTGGGGAGCAGGGTGCCATAATAGGCTCTCATAGGAAGTCTTTTTGGAAGTGACTCTCTCTCTTCCTCTGCACTCCTACCCCACCCTGCACTGCCCCAGGCTTGATTCAGAAGAGGGTGATGGGGCTTGGTGTCCAGAGATCCCAGTTGAGCCGGATGACCTCAAGGAGTTCCTTCAGATTGACCTGCACGCCCTGCACTTTATCACCCTGGTGGGGACCCAGGGGCGACACGCTGGCGGCCATGGCAATGAGTTTGCACCAATGTACAAGATCAATTACAGCCGGGATGGCACCCGTTGGATTTCCTGGAGGAACCGGCATGGGAAGCAGGTAAGGAGGTGGGGAAATTAATAAATCTTCCCTGCTAGGATCCCACTGCCCTAGAGATGGGAAGGGGGGCCCTGTATGTGGGATGTGTCACCATGCTCAGACTGGCACCCTAACCAAGTGTTGCTGATCTGGCATATACTGCAAATCCAGTACCAGGTGGGCCAGGTATCTCTATAGCTGCCACCTCGAGTTACAGGCATTCAGGGCTGAAGCAGTGCCTGGCCAACAAGCAGAACACCATCTCCTAGGACAGAGAATGCCTTTGCCTGGCTAGGGTACTGACAATGAAGGGTGTCAGCCCCCATTTCTGGGGCAGTTGGGGCTTGGTCACTGGAGTATTGGAAAATGCTAGTGAAGATGCTGATGATACCTGCCATGCAGTGCCCAGGGAGGTGTGAGTTGAAGTGCAGGCTTTACCCTCCATGCCCATTCGTGCCAATCCACCTCTCCCAGTGCAATGTAGACAGGAGATGCACATTAGCACCATCCAGGCTGCCACAGCTGTAGTGCTGGATGCAAGTTCACTGCAGGGAATACAAGCATATCTACTGCCATGCCCTGGGCCCGTAACAATGACAAAGCCTCATGCACTGGGGGATTGTGCCCACCACACAGATGCTGAGACTGATGCAAAAACAGTGATCTCCCTGCCCCTGGTGGCAGAGAAGTGCCGGGTGGTGGTAGCAGGGTATGGTGAGGTGCAGCAGCCGTGAGCCACACTTGGAGGCCTGTGGGATGTGTGAGCTGCCCTCTGTCTCTCTCAGCTGCACAGCATCATCGCTCTTTGCTCCTAGTATCTGTCGTCCTTAGGTGCTGGATGGAAACACCAACCCTTATGACATTGTCCTCAAGGACCTGGAGCCTCCCATCATAGCTCGCTTCGTACGCTTTATTCCCATCACCGACCACTCCATGAATGTATGCTTGCGAGTGGAGCTCTACGGCTGCACGTGGCTAGGTGAGCAGGGGCTCTGCAAGGGCACCAGTCACACCCATTTCCAGTGCCATGGATCAGGGGACCAGAGGAACTGCAAGTATAAGGGCTCTTGCTGTGGCAGCGGGACCCTGTGTTGTGTTTGGGGGTCTGACATGGAAATGCATCTGTCTGCATGGATCTCTAGGCAGTGGGGGCTTGCAAGGGGCTATGGCTGGCAATGGGGCTTGGAAGGGGAACACTCACCAGAAGTGCTGCCTTCTGATCAGGCTAGGGTGTGGTAGGTTGTCTTCCTCCCAGGGGTTTCCCTTTCTCACAGTAAATCCTCTGTTTGGGGATCTGTTCTGTTAGCGACTCAGCCCTCCGGCTAGGTCACATGTTTGACCCCAATGATGTGGAAATCTTCAGAAGTCAGCAAGAGCTTCGGGGCTTCCCCCATGTGTTGGGGTTTTGGGGTCTGGACCCTTGCACCTTCAGGGTCTCCCAACTAGATTCCCCACCAAGGGACAGGCTTCTGTCATTGTCCCCTCTTTAGGGGCTGGTAGGGGATCCAGGGCCCAATGGTAGGCAGCTGAGATCGGCACCTTGGGGCACTATGCGGCTGCCTCCCTGCCTACCAGTGTCCCCTCTCCCCACAGGGTAAAATAAAGAACCAAACACAAAATTAAAGTCTGTGACCTTCAGAAGTCCCCAGTTCCTCCTTTGCAGGCTTGAGCAGGTCAGTATCCAAGCCTCAGGCTGCAAGCTTTCCTGGGAGATGCCTTCCCAGGAGCTTGTACGATAGGTCTTCTCTTGTCCACTGCCTGCCCCCTACTCAGCTGCTCTGCTTCCCCTTTTAAGCCCCCAGTCCAGCTTCTGCCAGCTCCTTTACCTCTTGTTCTCCAGTGTGGGGTTTATACACCCTGGCACAGGCTGGCAACATGATTGTGTGACGGGCTTTGGCAGCAATGGGGGCTTGTGAGGGCTCAAGACTGGAAATGGGGGTTTGCTAGGGGCTGTGTCAGCAATGGGGGGTTGCAAGCAAATGTGCCTGGCAATGGGGGGTTGTAAGAGGATATGGCAATAATGGAGGTTTGCAAGGAGCCATGTCTGGCACTTTGGGTGTGCAATGATCCATGGCTGGCAATGGGGGTTTGCTAGGGGCTATTTCAGTAATGGGGGTTTGCGAGAAGCCATGGCTGGCAATGGAGGTTTTTGGGGGTCCAGGGCTGTGTGAGGGGCCATGGTTGGCAATGGGTGTGTGCAAGGAGCCGTGGCTGGCTACTGGGGTTTGCGAGGAAAAGTGGCAGCAATGGGGTTGTGCAAAGGGCCGTGGCAGCAATGAGCGTGTGCAAGGGGATGTGTCCAGCAGTGTGGATTTGTGAGTGGCTGTGGCAGTAATGGAGGTGTGTGGCTCACAGTGGAGGTGTGAGGGGGCTCTGGTGGGTAATAGGGTTGGTGAGGATCCGTGGCAGCATTGAGGATTTGCAAAGAGACATGGCACTAATGGGTCTGTGTGAGGGGCCATGGCTTGCAATGTGGATGTAGCAAGGGGGGTTTGCGAGGGAATGGGGCAGCAATGGTATGGGGGCTCATGACTGGTAATGGGCATTTGCTAGGGGATGTGGCAGCAATGGGGGCGTGCGTAGGGCCATGTCTAGGAATGGAGGTTTGTGAGAGGCCATGGCCATAATGGGAGTTTGTGAGAGGCCGTGGCTGGCAGTGTGGGTTTGCGAGGGCCCTTGGCTGGCAGTGAGGGTTTTGCAAGAGGCTGTGGCTGGCAATGAGGGTTTGACAGGGCCCTTGGCTACAATGGGGGTTTGTGAGAGGCCATAACAGTAATGGGAGTTTGTGAGGGTATGTGGCTGGAAATTGGGTGTTGTCAGGTATGTGGCTGACAATGGGGTTTGCGAGCTGTTGTTTCTGGCCGTGGGGGCATGCAAGGGGCTGTTTCTGGCAATGGGGCTATGTGAGGAACTGTGGCAAGCAATGAGGGTTTGCAAGGGGCCGAGGCAAGCAATGGAGGAATGATGGGGCATACCAGGCCCAGAGGTGCCCTGATGGAAAAGGAGCAGTGAAGGTGAGTCCTCCAAGTAGCCTAGAGAGGCTGCATGGGAGTCAGCCCAGTCAGGGCCCAGCAGGCCCATACAAAAGGGGCTGCTGTACAGAACAGGAGTTAGTTGCTGCCTGGAGCTGGAGGAGCAAGGAGGTTGTTCCTGGCTGGCTGAAGGAGCGGCAGGCTCTCAAGACAGAGAAATTGATGGCAGGGACTTGGGGAGGGAGAAGGAGCTCCTGGCTGACAGCTGGGTAGCTGAATGCCCTGTGATATTCATGAAGGAGCTGTGGGAAAATGTCCCAGGGAGCAGTAAAAATGGTAGCAGACTCAAAGGGGATGCAGTGGCATGTGGCTGCTATTCGTAGGTTCCCTAGGTCAGGACCTGGAGTAGTGGGCAGGCCCAGGTCCCTGCCACTGGGGAAGTGGCCTGAGTATGGAACTGGGATACGCCCCTGGCAGGGGATCTGAACAGTTTAGTTGGAAAGCTGGGGCCAGAAAATCCCAGCAGGGTGAAAGCATTGGCTCCAGGGAGAAAGCCCAGGGGTGGAGGTACAGCCCCTTTGCAGGGTCGGGACTGTTAAACAGTCCCACAGTCTCTCCAGGAATTGAGCCCGGGAAGGGCTGCAGCAAGAGATGTTCCAAAGTGGGGTATTGAAACCAACAGGGTCCTATCCCGTGTACAGACTGTGTGCCCGGCGGGCAGGCTGAGTCACTGAAGACCTTCTGCAATCAGAGCCAGTGCCAGCATGTGCACTCAGCCAAGTGCCTGGCAGTGAGGGCCCTCAAAGGGCTGTTGGTGGCAGTGGGGGTTCATGAGGGGCCATGGTGGCTAATGTGTTTGTGTGAGGGAATAAGACAGCAATGGGGGTTTGCGAGGGGCTGTTGGTGGCCATGGGGGTTTGCCGGGGCTGTTGGCAACGTCGGTTTGATAGGAGATGTGACTAGTAGTGGGGTTTGGTGAGGGGCTGGCTGGCAATGGGAGCTTTTCAGGGGCTTGACTGGCAATGGGGGTTTGTGAGAGGCCGTGAAAGTGATATGTGGGGGGGGGGGTTGTGGGGGGCATGGCTGGCTGTGGGGCTATGTGAGGGGGCCATAATATAATGAAGCTTTGTGAAGGGTATGGCTGCCAGTTGGGATTTGTGAGGAGTCAGGGCAGTAATGGGTCTGTGGCTTGCACTGGGGGTTTGCAGGGGAACATGGCTGGCAACAAGACTGGAAATGGGGGTTTGCTAGGGGATGTGGCAGCAACGGGGACATGTGAAGGGCCATGTCTAGGAATGGAGGTTTGTGAGAGACCATGGCCATAATGGGGGTTTATGAGGGACCATGGCTGGCAGTGGGGGTTTGTGAGGGTATGTGGCAGTTCATGGGGCTTGGCGAGGGGCCATGGCTAGCAGTGGGGGCATTGCAAGGGGCTGTGTCAGCAATGGGAGTGTGGAAGAGGCCGTGCCTGGCAATGTAGGGTTGCGAGGGGCCGTGCCTGGCAATGAGGGGTGGGAGAGGACGTGGCAGTAATGGACCTTCAGATGCACCTGTTGCTGGCAATGGGTCTGTGTGCGGAGCTGTGGCTGGCATGGGGTGTTTGCGAGAGGCCGTGTCTGGCAATATAGGTGTGCATGGCAGCAATGGAGCCATGACACAGTAGAGGTTTGACAGGGAATATGGGTGGTAGTGGGGGTTGGCAAGGGGCTGGCTGGCCATGGGGATGCGCAAGGGGATGTGGTACCAATGGGGGTATATGAGGGGATGTGGCAGCAGTGGGGGTGCAGAAAAGGTTGTGTCTGGCAATGCTGGTTGGCTTGGGAACATGGCAGTAATGGGTGTGTCCGAGGGACAGTTGGTGTGTGTGCGGAGCTGTGGCTGGCAAGGGGTGTTTGCGAGGGGCCATGTCTGGCAATATGGGTGTACACAGGGCTGTCACTGGCAACTCGGGTTTGCAAGGGGCCAGGGCTCGCCATGGAGGTGAGTGAGGGGACGGGGCTGGCAATGGGGCTTTGTGAGGGCTCCTTAACGGCAATGGAGGTGTTTGCGGGGCCTTGGCTGCCAGTGGGAGTTTGTGAGGCCACATAGTGTCAGTGCCCAGGTTTGTGAGGGTCCATGGCTTTCAGTGGGGGGTTGCTAGGGGTTGTGTTTGGTGGTGGGGTTTGGCATGGGGTCAACTGGCAATGTGGGGTTGTGAGAGGCCATGAGAGTGTTGGGTGTTTGTGAGGGGCCATGGCCCACAGTGGGGGTTCGCGAGGAGCTATTGGTGGCAGCAATGGAGGTTTGTTAGAGGATATGGCTGACAGCAGGGTGGAGGAAGGTGACAGGCCATGCCTGGAAGTGGGAATGTGGCAAGGTCCATGGCTAGCAATGGGAGTTTGTGAGAAGACATGGCAGCAATGGTTGTGTGTGAGGAGATGTGACTGGCAAAGGCGGGTTGCAACTTCTTAGCCTATACCCATATCTCTGCTGGCATGACATTTTCACTGCCCTATTTGTCAACCTGGCCAGTTCTCCATCCAGCCATTCTCCCCCTCTATTTTTGTGTGACACTCATACAGTGGAGCCCAGTCAGTTTCTGAGCTCATCCCTGGTCTGTGCTGCAATCTAGAGCCTCTTGGCCCAGGTGGATGTTGCATTGTCCTCTCCTTTTGGTTTATCCGGGAGAGCTGCTGCAAACCTGTCTGGGGGGGATGCTTGTTTGGGCCCACACTAATTGCACGCCGATTGCTCTGGCAGATGGGCTGGTTTCCTACAACGCGCCTGCTGGACAACAGTTCGTCCTTCCCAGCGGCACAGTCATTTACCTCAACGATTCTGTGTATGATGGCGCTTTTGGCTACAGGTAAGTCCCCAGAGAGCTCCTTGCCTAGGAAGGTGGGGGAGGGGTTTTTCAGGCAGGTCAGGGCTTGGTAATGACAAGCTGCCAATGTTCTACCAAGGGCTCCACAAAAATGATCCCCCAGTGTTGTCCTGTGATTAAACCAGGTTTCTACCAAACAGTTTAAGGTCACCTGTTTAAGCTGCTTGACTTGTCAGCTCCTCCAGTTCTGTACATCCCTGAGCACATCATCAGTACTCAGCGAACTAACTAATAGCAACCCCACTCCAGCAGGGATTGTGCCCCTACAGACAGGAGAACTGGGGATATGCTCATTTGCCCATTTAAACAAGACCGTGTTTTTCTTGCCATAAGCACAGAAGGAAGGAGCCACTTGGCCAACAAAGGGGCAAGTTGCTGCCTCTTTCTGAGAAAATAGCCATTGCTCTGGACATTATGAGTTCAGCCCAGGTCATCGGACATGCTGGGATGCTGTGGAAAGCCCCTGGAAGGGGTGTTGGGGGCTGTGTGACTGAGGCAGCCCACTGAGATCTCTCTGATGTGGAGTTAATAGTTGTTTCCCCACAGTATGGGGTCCCTTAAAGTCAAGCAGCTCCTGTGATTCCTCCTGGGAGTTTACTCCACATACCAAAGGATGCTTGTCACCTCCTAGCCCTCATCAGGTCACAAAGTCAGTGTAATTCTTGAAATGGACTCTTTGCGGCCCCAACCAATACATTGGTGCTCCCTTCTCTAAAGCTAAGACACCAGTGCCATCAACATCCATGCTAGTGAGAACCCACTCCTGCATACAGGATGCACAGTCCAGTGTTTAGCAGCAACCCTACAATAACAGAACCACCCCAAATCCACTAACAGTGGGATCTGTGGACCTAATGGGAGCAGCAAGTGCTAAGCACCTTGCAAAATCAGGCCCTCTTTATTTAGGGGCCTAACTTTAGACTTCCAGGTTTGAACATTTTAGTCTGTCTGTCCCACCCTTCTTGCCTCCCTCTGTCCATCCAGGTTCTTTAATGGCACACAAACGAGCACGTGAGGCCAAGTACTCTACTAAACCACTGCAGGTTGCCCAGTGCTGTTTAAAACAGGCTGCAATGGCTCTCAGGGGACTCAGTGAGGAAAGAGTTAGTTTAATGATTTTAAGAAGCTATAATGAAAAAAGGCCTCCAGTTTTTTAAAGCATTTATGAACAATGGCCATCCATTCTACACTCCCCAGTTGCTGGTGGGATGGGGCGACAGGTGGGAGGCAGAGAGCGGGAAGATTTTTGGGTGGACTCCAAAAAAGATTCACACCCCCTTGTATCTTTCCAGCATGACTGAGGGACTGGGCCAGCTGACGGACGGTGTTTCTGGCCTGGATGACTTCACACAGACCCATGAGTACCACATGTGGCCTGGCTATGACTACGTAGGGTGGCGCAATGAAAGCGCTGCTGGGGGCTACATTGAAATCATGTTCGAATTTGATCGGATCAGAAACTTCACCACCATGAAGGTATGTGGCTCCAGGGGCACCTTTCTTGGTAACATCAGTGAGGGCTTTTTGTGGCCTTGTCTCTCTGAACGTGGGCCCGGCTGTAGAAGGCACGTTCTAGAAAGGCACTAGGGGTCTGACTTTGTCATGTGCCTTACAAAATGCCAATGCAAGGCCTTAGGGTCTAGGACACAGGCTGCCCTACATTTTGGGCGGGGGGCTGTGTCAGGGATAGTGAACATGAGTGAGGAAAAGCTAGACATGTTGGCTGTAGCTTCTATGCATGTTACACTGCCCTCTCAGCTGCACCATGCCTCCTTGGCCCTAGCCACCAGCTCCTGCTCTGCTCAGCCCTGCTCTGCTGCCCCACTTACTATCCCTGCCTGTGGGTGACTAAAGGGCCACTTCTGTCTGTAATCACTATATTTCTATGACCTGTCAGCCAGTGACTGGAATGAGACCAAAGACTCACTCCATTTGTGACCTCAGACAGTAACAAGTTTCCTATGATGAAATGCTAAGGAAATGTCCCCCACCCCTTCCTCCTGGGCCCCCTTGACCAGCTAGGGTTCTAGGTGAGGGTGCCACCAAGGGCAGGCCGCAATGAGCACAGGGTTCCCTGCATGGCTATCCCAGGGTCTCTGAATCCTATGGAGTTGCCCTGGGCAGTGGGTGTTGCCAGCCTGTGCTGGTGTCGAGCTCACCTGGGACTCTGTTGCTGCCATGCAGGTGCACTGCAACAACATGTTTGCCAAGGGGGTGAAGATCTTCAAGGAGGTTCAGTGCTATTTCCGCTCCGATGCCAATGAATGGGAGCCCAACACCATCTCCTCAGTGCTGGTGCTGGATGACGTCAACCCCAGTGCGCGGTTCGTCACTGTGCCCTTGCTTCATCGCATGGCCAGCGCCATCAAGTGCCAGTATTACTTTGCTGACACCTGGATGATGTTCAGTGAGATTACATTCCAGTCAGGTACTGGCAAAAGGCGGGAGGTTGGGGGACCTGGAAGCCACAGCATCCATGTCAGGGAGCAAGGGAGGCATAGGTCCAGGGAGTACCAAGCGATGTGCCATTTGTTCTGGACCATAGAAATGTAGGAACTGCCAAACTGGATCGCACCTCAGGTGCTTCTAATCTAGTCTCCTGTACCTGACAGTAGCCAGAAACAGCTGCTGAAGGGGAAGGTATGAGAACCCTGTAGTAGCTGATGGGGGATAGTGTGCACCCACATTAGGGCTCATCCTGGTCACTAACAGACAGGCTTAAGCCCAGAAGCAGGAGGTTCAGTGTCCCTTCCCAAATGTTTATAATGAATTATGGTAATTCTGCATATTTTTGATAGCCATATAAATATCCAGTCTCTCTTTTTGAATCTTGTTAAATTTTTTTGCCCCAATGATTTCCTGTGGCAGTGAGTTCCACAATCTAATCATGTGTTGTGTGGGGGGGGGGGGGAGGTATTTCTTTTTATTGGCTTGGAATTTCTCACCTTTCAATTCCATGGGATATCCACTTGTTCCTGTGTTACAAGGCAGTGAGAAGAGTAGTTTCCTATTTACCCAAGGAAAGTGGGTACTGGGACTACTGTGGTACCAGTAGCTATAGCATTCATCCTGTGGAGGAACAGGGTTTTGAGGAGAGCAGCACCATGCAGTGGGAATCCCCTAATGGTGGGTTTGTGCTTGGAGGCTTTAGAATTCAGACTTGGCTGAGTTGTGGTAACCTGGGCTGGAGAGGGCTAGGAACCTTTTCAGGGCCAGGTAGAGTCGAGCAGGTGTTCTGTGACATGAATTAAGTGCCACAGGGAAAAATCCATTCTGCCCTCACAACAGCTATCACAGGCATGTGAGTGTCACTGACTTGTTCTCAATTCTGTTTCTTAGATGCAGCCATGTACAACAACTCTGGAGCCCCTCCTGAGTCACCCATAGCACCCACCACTTACGGTATGTGGTATGTGGACATTCTGTGTGCTCAAGAGCCTGGTCCCCATCAGGTCTGCAGAGGTGGCATATTCCTGCGAGGAAGGATTGGCCACTGGATAAAATGCAGCCCTCCTATAGACCCCCTGAATTCCTGAAACACATGCCACCCTATTAGAATAAGGGCACCAGAAACCACCTCCAGTCTGAGAGTAACAGCTGCTGCAGTACCCAGAGATTACTCCGATATGGCAAAGTGCTACTTCATTATGACATGGGCATAGAAACACCTTTCACATGATTACGTGGCTTATGAGTACCTGGTGTCTGTCTAGATGTGTATGATGTCATCCATTGCCATGGGATCGAAATGCCTTCCATGGCCAGGGCCCCATGTAGTCCATAAGTCCACAGATGCAAAATGTGTAGTGCAGCGAGCCTCGTACTGTGGACCAGTCCTCCTAAGTCTGAGATTCAGTGGGGAAAAAAAATGTTTCCATCCCTAATGGTTGTAAAGGTAACCTTCCAGGCCCAAACCAAGCAATGTCTTCCTGAGTCTGCAGGCATCTTGAAACAATAGCTTGGAGAGGTGTGAACTGCCCTAGTCACTTCAATGGGGTTTTAACACAACATCGTTTACTCTTTCATGGCTGATCATTTTATCAGAACCATCCAGCTAATGTGATTGTTTCACAATCACAAATTGCTTAAACCTTCAGCTAAAGCAGATTGGAAATTTTCCGATGGACTCATTTTTCTATCAGAACTTTTCAAGTTTGAGGAAATTTCATTTAGAAAAAGTTTAGAAAATTTTCAACATTTTAATTTCAAAAAGACTTATTTCAAATTTTTATAATGCATTGTATTATATCATATTCATTAACATAGGAAATACCAGTTACCAAACAAATTACAAAAACAATATATTTTATAAATTTTATAATATTCATGATTATCACACATTGTGAGAGAGCAAAGGTGGGTGAGGTAATATCTGTTGTTGGACCAGCTTCTGAAGAGCCTACCATTCGGTCTTGGCCAAGTAAGATCTAAGTTGGTCCAATTAAAAGATATTCTTCAAGTGATGGTCGCTGTATGTATTCCAAATGTGGGTGCACATGTGCGCCATGCACTGGAGTTGGAAGGTTTTCTTAGTAGTGTTAGCTGTGAGCATGAGGGGGTCAACAGAGGGTATAATAGGCCATGTGGGTCGATGCCTCTCCAGGTCCCTCTTACCACTGCATGGCCTGAGTTGGAACCCATGTTCCTGTGCTCTCTTAGCTTGCTAAGAGAGTGATCTACTTTCCATTCCTGTATATAGTTGTACGTAGCTGTATTTAGTGTTTCATAATTGTTCTTCATAGATAATTGTTAGTGTAGATTCTCCCCCCCCCTTGGAGAACCTCCCCTCGAGACTATGGCCGGGATTCCAGGCTTTGAGAACTGTGCCCCTTGCCCGTGCTTATTTTCTGCGAGCAATGAGCACCGGTGTTGCCTGTACTGCCTCACAGCCCGCTGTTCGGTTTGTAAGTCTTTTCTGCCCTGAACGCAGAAGGCGTGAGAGCTTTGCCTCAGGAAGTTCTCAGTGGATGCAGTCATGCGCCCAAGGGCACACTCGTATCTGGAACCACCAGTATAGAGACAGTCACTGGCGGTGAGCTCCCCTCCACGTACCTCCCAGGCCCTGGATCCGTCAGTACCGAAGGCGATGGACAAGCCCCGCCATGAGGGTAAAAAACATGGACATGGGCATAAGAGCAGATCCCCAGCCCTGACCACTCATAAGTGCAGCTTTTCCTCCCCAGACCAGATAGAGTGAGAGGTCACATGCGAATCCCACCTGCCCAGCACCCAACCTGCCCCATGTTGAGGGCAAGGCAAAACACAAACAGGATCCAGTGATACCCTCGCTGGCACATGCACCACCCATCCCTTCAGTGTCTGGGAGCCCCTCAGATTGACTGGCACTGCGGACAATGCCTGGGCCCTCGGGCATGCCCAGAGGGGCGTCATGCACTCCTGGATGCTTGGAGCTGCTCCTCTTGATGAAGGAGCCGCTCCTCCCGCACCCACATTCTCCACCCCTTTCCAGACCTCCAACCACCACCGTACTCCCCTCTCCGGTGGACGAGCCTTTGTTGCTGCTACTGGAGAAGCACGTTGTAACGATGCAGCCTCTGGCAGGACGCTGAGAGTATCCATTCAGGACAAATTGCTTAGAACAGGGCAGTTACAGTCCAAGACTGGGGGACCTTTACACACCAATCCACCCAAACAGAGAGGACTTCAGTTTTACCCTACTGGCTAACCAGAAGTCATATAAGCAATTCCCTCAGTTTCATAGACATCAGGGTTGGAAGGGACCTCAGGAGGTCATCTAGTCCAACCCCCTGCTCAACGCAGGACCAATCCCCAACTAAATCATCCCAGCCAGGGCTTTGTCAAGCCTGATCTTAAAAACTTCGAAGAAAGGACATTCCACTGCCTCCCTAGGTAACTCATTCCAGTGCTTCACCACCCTCCTAGTGAAAAAGTTTTTCCTAATATCCAACCTAAACCTCCCCCACTGCAACTTGAGACCATTACTGCTCATTCTGTCATCTGCTACCATTGAAAACAGTCTAGATCCATCCTCTTTGGAACCCCCTTTCAGGTAGTTGAAAGCAGCGATCCAATCCCCCCACATTCTTCTCTTCCCCAGACTAAACAATCCCAGTTCCCTCGGCATCTCCTCATAAGTCATGTGTTCCAGTACCCTAATAATTTTTGTTGATCTCCGCTGGCTGTTTTCCAATTTTTCCACATCTTTCTTGTGGTGTGGGGCCCAAAACTGGACACAGTACTCCAGATGAGGCCTCACCAACCTCAAATAGAGAGGAACGATCACGTCCCCCGATTTGCTGGCAATGCCCCTACTTAAACAGCCCAATATACCATTGGCCTTCTTGGCAACAAGGGCACACTGTTGACTCATATCCAGCTTCTCGTCCACTGTAACTCCTTTTCTGCAGAACTGGTGCCTAGCCATTCGGTCCCTAGTCTGTAGCGGTGCATGGGATTCTTCCGTCCTAAGTGCAGGACTCTGCACTTGTCCTTGTTGAACCTCATCAGATTTCTTTTAGCCCAATCCTCTAATTTGTCTAGGGCCCTCTGTATCCTGTCCCTACCCTCCAGCGTATCTACCTCTCCTCCCAGTGTAGTGTCATCTGCAAACTTGCTGAGGGTGGAATCCACACCATCCTCCAGATCATTAATGAAGATATTGAACAAAACTGGCCCCATGACCGACACTTGGGGCACTCCACTTGATACTGTCTGCCAACTAGACATGGAGCCATTGATCACTACCCGTTGAGCCCGACAATCTAGCCAGCTTTCTATCTACTTTATAGTCCATTCATCCAGCCCATACTTCTTTAACTTGCTGGCAAGAATACTGTGGGAGACTGCGTCAAAAGCTTTGCTAAAGTCAAGGAACAACACGTCCACTGCTTTCCCCTCATCCACAGAGCCAGTTAGCTTGTCAAAGAAGGCAATTAGATCAGTCAGGTGAATCCATGCTGACTGTTCCTGATCACTTTCCTCTCCTCTAAGTGCTTCAGAATTGATTCCTTGGGGACCTGCTCCATGATTTTTCCAGGGACTGAGGTGAGGCTGGCTGGCCTGTAGTTCCCAGGATCCTCCTTCTTCCCTTTTTAAAAGGTGGGCACTACATTAGCCTTTTTCCAGTCGTCCGGGACCTCCCCTGATCACCATGAATTTTCAACGATAATGGCCAATGGCTCAGCAGTCACATCCGCCAACTCCTTTAGCACTCTTGGATGCAGCGCATCTGGCCTCATGGACTTGTGCTTGTCCAGCTTTTCTAAATAGTCCCAAACCACTTCTTTCTTCACAGAGGACTGGTCACCTCCTACCCATGCTGTGCTGCCCAGTGCGGTAGTTTGGGAGCTGACCCTGTTCATGAAAGCAGAGGCAAAAAAAGCATTGAGTCCGTTAGCTTTTTCCACATCCTCTGTCACTAGGTTGCCTCCGTCATTCAGTAAGGGGCCCACACTTTCCTTGACTTTCTTCTTGTTGCTAACATACCTGAAGAAACCCTTCTTGTTACAGCTAGCAAGAGATGTTAAGAGTAACTCCAGGTGTGATTTGGCCTTCCTGATATCACTCCTGCATGCCCAAGCAATATTTTTATACTCTTCCCTGGCCCTTTGTCCAATCTTCCACTTCTTGTAAGCGTCTTTTTTTGTGTTTAAGATCAGCAAGGATTTCACTGTTAAGCCAAGCTAGTCACCTGCCATATTTACTATTCTTTCAACACATCGGGATGGTTTGTCCCTGTAACCTCAACAAGGATTCTTTAAAATACAGCCAGCTCTCCTGGACTCCTTTTCCCCCTCATGTTGTTCTCCCAGGGGATCCTGCCCATCAGTTCCCTGAGGAAGTCAAAGTCTGCTTTTCTGAAGTCCGGGGTCCGCATTCTGCTGCTCTCCTTTCTTCCTTGTGTCAGGATCCTGAACTCGACCATCTCATGGTCACTGCTTCCCAGGTTCCCATCCACTTTTGCTTCCCCTACTAATTCTTTCTTTCCCAGTATCACCACCAGCACCACTCCTTATGGGGATGATTGGTTATGAAAACCAATACCCCAGTCAACTGAAAAAAAAAGGTTCTCCCGATCCCAAAGGTCCAAGCCTTAGACCCAGCTCAATATACAAATCACGCTGTTGCCAATCCTTTAGAATCTAAAGGTTTATTCATAAAAAGAAAGAAATATACATGAGAGTTAAAACTGGTTAAATGGAATCCATTACATACAGTAATGGCAAAATTCTTCATTCAGGCTTGTAGCAGTGATGGAATAAACTTCAGGTTCAAATCAAGTCTCTGGAGTACATCCACAGCTGGGATGGGTCATTCAGTCCTTTCTTCAGAGCTTCAGTTTGTAGCAAAGTTCCTCTAGAGGAAAGAAGCAGGATTGAAGACAAAATGGAGATGATGCAGCTGCCTTTTATAGTCCTTTTGCCCTGTGGTTTGTGCTTCCTTTGTTCCAAACACAAGCTACCCAGCACATGACATGAAAAACCTCAGAGTTCTGTCCATAGGCATGTCCCTGCATCCCTGGCTGAGTCTCAAGGTGTCTCTGCCTTCTCTCAATGGGTCAGTTGTATAGCTGATGGTCCTTAATAGGCCATCAAGCAGGCTAGGCAGTGCTGATGCCAAATTGTCCGGGGTGTCACCCAGAAGCACAGCACAAGTTTGAAATACAGGTAGTGTAGAGCCAGTACTTTAAATACAAAATGATACATGCATTCAGATAACATCATCATAACCAGTAAATCATAGCCTTGTCATAGACACCTTACTTGACCTCCTTTGTACACGATTTGGTGCCACTATAGGACCTTGGTTGCAACAACGATCTATTCGGTCACAGTTCATATTAATAACGTCACACACACCCCATTGGTGCATCACAGGCCTCCGGTACCCATGGTCCCCCCTGTTGCTGGAACCATCTTTGGAGTCTGAGGGCCTCTCAGAGTCAGAACCCTCGTTCTCGCTTATACCCCATCCGAGCCCAGAATCACAACCCAGACTGCCATACCCCCTGGCTTATGATCCCCCTGCGGAGGCCTGATACCGTTAGCCATGACACCCACTTATGCCCAGGGACCCTTTGTTTTGGCCATTCTGGGTGCCCTGGGATCTCTACTGAGGATGGCGCCGTTGGTTTATGAGGAGGAGGAAGATGTAGAACCAGTACTGCTGGTCCACACTGCTGCTGCTTCCTCACTGAACAAGGCGCTTATTCTCCCGGATTGATGACCAATACCAGGACTTGCTCCGGATGATTTTACCCCCTTCCCCCCCCCTTCCCCAACTCTCTTGTGCAGCAGCAGAGTGGGCACAACAGCACCTACAAAAACCTACTCCCCCAGACAAAGCAGCAGGAAAATCAACTCCGCAGTGGGACTGCAGTTCTGCATTGCCAGTTATCAGGCTTTGCTAGCCAAATAGGACTTCAGCTGTAATAGGCTAGCAAAGTTCAAGGACAAGCTGCCACCACGCCAACAGCAGCAATTCCAGGCCTGGTGGACAAGGGGTGACTGGTGTACAAAGGGCCTCTAGGCCACTGTGGATGTGGCCAACATGTCCTCTCACTCTCTGACGACTGGCCGCAACTGTCCGGATTCTTCAGGGAGGCCCAAAACACTACTGATGACCTCCCCTTTAGGAGCACAAACTAGTCACTGACCAGATTGATGGTTCCCTCCATTCCCTGAAGGACTCTCAGGCCACACTCAGGTCCCTTGGCATTTACATCCCAGTCCCAAGATGCAGGCAGCTACAGCAACCGTTCCATCCCTGACCACCCTCCCCCTACCTGCCCTACTACCAGTGCCAGCAGGTGGCACCACATAGACAGCACCGCACACAACACTCCCCGCCTCCACCACAACCACCACCTTGACCCCAAACAAGCAGCAGTCAAAACAGCAGTTTTGACATGCAGGTCAAGAACTGTGAACCTCCCCCCGATGCCTTCCAGAGTGCCCAATATTATCTTTGGGGACTGTCTTGCTCTGTTCTGCCACAACTGATGCAAAATCACCATGGACAATCAGGTACTGGAGATTATCCATCATGGATACTCCCATAGAATTCCTCTTGTTTTCCCCCTCATCGCTCCCCAGCCCAGACTTCCCCTGGGAACTCATCCTCCAACAACAAGTGGATGCTCTGCTCCTCAAGGGGGCCATAGAGCTTACTGCCATCACCACCCACTGAGTACGATATCCATACCTATCATCCTCGTTTACCTCCTTGGGCTCAAAATGATGAGCCTTGCCCTCAGCTCTACACGGGTCCACCTGGCAGCACTTAATGTCTTTCTCCCTCTGTGGATGGCACCTCTGTTATGTACCCCTCCACTGTCCATTTCATGAAGGGTCTCCTCAATACCTTCCTGCCAGTACTCCAGCCCACACCTACATGGGACCTCAATCTCGTTTTGTCCGTCCTCACAAATGGCAACGTGCTCCCTCTCCTATCTCTCCATGAAGGTGATGTTCCTAGTGGCCATTACCTCAGCTAGATAAGTCAGTGAACTGGCAGCCATGATGGCTAACTGCCCCCCTTACACTGTATTTCAGAAGGATAAAGTGTCCTTATGGCTTCACCCTAAGTTCCTCCCAAAGGTGGTGGTGGAGTTCCACCTCAATCAGGCCGTCCACCTCCTTGTCTTCTGTCCCAAGCCATTCTCTCCCATGCGGACAGGATCCTGCACTCCCTCGACATCCACTGTGCAGTAGCATTCTAACTCAACAGGGACTTCTGCCTTTCATGAATCGATGAAACTGTTTGTGGCCATCGCTGACCAGTCCAAGGGCCAAGCCCTTGCCTCTAAGGAATCTCCAAATGGGTCTCCATGCAGCATTCACGGATGCACCTGCTAGCCATCGTACTGCTGCTTGATAGATTTACAACGCACTCTGTGTGAGCACAAGCAACCACATCAACCTGCCTGGTGGACATCTTGTGGCAAGACATTTCCTGTAGTGACATGGCGCTCTGTACACACGTTCACATCCCACTGTGCCATCACTCAAAGGGTGGCTGAGGACACCGCAGTGGGCCGTACTGTACTACAGGCTGCATTTCCTCTCTTCCTTGCACCCACCTCCACACTGATCGCTACTCCTCCACAGTTGGAATATATATAGGGACCATCACTCAAAGAAGAGGAGGTTACTTACCTGTAATTGGAGGTTCTTTGGGATGTGTGGTCCCAGTTTGTATTCCAATACCCACCCTCCATCCCCTCTGCTGTGGACTGGACTACTCAGAGCTAATAGGGTCACTGGAGGGGCGTCGACCTGTATGGCCTCTTAGACCCTTGTCTGTGAGCACAAAGGGATGCACAATGAACATGTGGGTCAATGGACGCTGCTAAGAAAAGCTTCCAGCTCTGGTGCATGGCGCGCATACGCACCCACATTTGGAATACAGATAAGGACCACACACATCTCGAAGAACCTCCAGTTACATGTAAGTAACCTCCTCTTATCTCATCCCTTTGTCTCTCTCATTTCCTGGGACTAACACAGCTGCTACAACAATATTGCAAATGACCTATTATGACATGGCATCATAATAGTCAAAACATTTTCAACTTTTCTACTCTTTATATATAATCTCATTTCAACTTCTGTTTATAATTTTTTTTTGAATGTCAAATTTTCCTGCAGAACAGAAGTTCTGGGTTTCAACCCATTCTGCTTCCAGCTCTTCTTCAGACACCCTCTGCGCTGCAGTTATGTGGTGTTAATGCAGTGGCATGTTGAACAATAAAGATGTGGGAACAGTCTGAAGCAACGAATGTAACATAATATCAACAAGAATAGCACAGGGCATAATGGGCACAGTCAGTGCAGTTATTTCCATAGTCAGTTCATTAATTGCCTCCTTTTTCGTTAAAATGAAGTTTTCACAGACTTTCTAGTCTGTTATGTCAGGATGTTACAGAGTCCAGGGTTGTGGCTGCAAAATGAAGAGCAGTGTGTACCCTGGGCTTTGACCACGTGAGAGAGTCACATGAGTGTGGTGATGGGGAGTCTCGAATTGTTAGTTACAGTCTCGCAATCCTGCGTGTCCCAGGCTCCATGGCCACAGAAGGGATGAGCTGCACTAGTGCAGCAGGGGCCAGCACAGAAGTGCTTCCCAGAGGGCAGGACTGTCTCTGGCCCTATGCATCCCTGCACTCACATCCCCAGTCAATGTACAGGGCGGAGAGCAGGCTCCACCCAGCTGTGCCTCCTCTTGCACAGAGGGATGGAAAATGGACAAAGCATTGGCGGTAAACCCCAGGATGCTGGCCAACAGAGCTGTGCTGCTGTTGTCTGCTCCTGGCAAGGATAGGCTGGCAAACAGGGAACCAAGGACACAGTGAAGTGCAGAGTACTTTGGGGTGGTGCAGTTATGCACTGCTTCTGGCTGTGGACAGAGGTAAACTCATCATTGCCCCTGTAGGGATGGTGAGCCCAGAAGTAACAGCCAAATAGACTTGCCAGTGACTGAGATCTATGTTTCCAATGAGAACCCAAGTTAAATCCAGCCTCCCAACGTCACCAACTTCTGCTCTCTCCTGTCTGCTGGCAGATCCAACCCTCAAGGTGGATGACAGCAACACACGCATCCTGATTGGCTGCCTGGTGGCAATCATCTTCATCCTGGTGGCCATCATTGTCATCATCCTGTGGAGGCAGTTCTGGCAAAAGATGCTGGAGAAGGTGAGCAGATCCTGGAGGCTTCTTTGTAAGGGCTCTGCCAGTACTAGGTTCAGTCTTGCGGCTGCACATCAGCCCCTCTGGTGACGTCAGCACAGCCCTGACAGTAATGGAGTTTGTTCAGGGTGAGGCCTAGCTGGGGATGTGCACCACATGCATCCCCCCTGAAGCTCACAGTCAAGCGCATGGACCTGCTTGTGCAGGCTAATTTCATCTAGCCACTGAGGGTGCTTCTACACTGGAATAAAAGATCCATGACATGGCCACAGCTGGCCCAGATCAGATGACTTGGGCTTGCAGGACACGGGGTTCATGGCTGTAAAATTGTTGTGTAGACATTCAGGCTTGGGCTGGGGCCTGGGCCCTGGGCGCCTCCCTCCTCGTGGGGTCCCCTGGCAGCTCCCTCCTCCTCTCCCCTCCCCCCGCCCCCATGGCTCAGGGGACTGTTCCCCAGCTGCCCCTGGATTCGGCAGCCCTGCCTGGTTAACAGGAAGGTTAACCAGGCAGGGCTGCCAAACAGGACCTTTTGGCCCACATGATTTGTCTTGCTGCTTTGGTCCACTGTTTGTCCAGAGTGAGGAATGTCCTTTGCTGTGTCCCTGTACTTTCTCCTTCTGCGTCCCCATCTCTCAGGCGTCTCGTCGGATGCTGGACGATGAAATGACCGTCAGCCTCTCCCTGCCTAGTGAATCCAGTATGTTCAACCACAACCACTCCTCCTCGTCCAGTGAGCAGGAGTCCAACTCCACCTATGACCGTATCTTCCCCCTGGGCCCAGACTACCAGGAACCCTCGCGGTTGATCCGCAAACTGCCAGAGTTTGCCCCAGGAGACGAAGAGGCAGGTGAGAATTAACAAGCAAGTTCTATGGCTAACACAGCCTTGTTTGAGCAAACAATGAGCAGCAGAGTGCTCCTGCAATACCCTGCTATGCCTGCTCCGGAGGCATTCAGTCGGGGGTAGTAGTGGCATTCAGTCTCACTCCATCCTTGATCTGCTAGCAAGGAGCACGTGCTCACACTGACACTTGTGGTGGAGCCATTTTTAGGGTCATGTGTATAGTTGGGCACAAACAAAAAAGTTCCCTTGCAGAAAATGTGTATTTTTTTCTGTGCAAACTCAAAAATTGAAAATTTTCAGCCAAAACATTTTGGCTTGAAAATACTGCCGTAGTGCCTCATGGGAGTTGTTGTTGAGTGTGCCTCCTCTATAGGGTGGTCTTTTTGGTTGGATTACATCAACAGTTTAGACAGAAACATTTCAACCAGGACTAGTCATGCATCCACTGGGAAATGGAGTGAAACCATTTCACATCACATGGGAATCGTATCACACAACAGCCATCCCAGTGGGAGTGACTTTAGACCAATACCAACCTGGGGTAAATTTGAACCAACAGCCTAGAGGTCCCAGTCCCCTATCCCAGTCCTAGGCCCAGTCTCCCTGAGCCATGTTAAGATGAGCTGTGTATTTTATTTCATTACAAAATTTGAATTTGCCCTTGCCATGTGCAGTCTGTTTTTAGTGAAATAAGTCTGTGACTAAGACAGTTCAGACTGCAAGTATTTCAGCTTAATATGGAATTTGACATTTGTGCTGTGTTGGTTAGTTACCTGTTTATCAAAGATCTGGAAAAGTGAAGCGGCAAAATGTGCAAATGATAAAATTATTTAATAGTAATACATAGCTCATAGCTAGGACTTTCCATCTGGAGACCTCAAAGCATTTTACCAAGCAGTTCAGTATCATTCATTATCTTCATTTTACACTTGGGGAAACTGAGGGACAGAGTAGGGCAGTGACTCTCCCAAGATCACCCAGCAGCAGAGCCAGGCATAGAACATGTTTCCTGCATCACAGTGTCCTGTCTGCTAGCCCACACTGCCCCTTTTCAGATTAGCCAGGACTGGAGGAGGAACTTCCCAGGGATTTAACCAGGCTGGGGGAACGGGCAACATGATGTCAGACTGAAATTTAATATTGACAAATGCAAAGTCAGTTGCATAGGAAGGAACAATTAGAACTGCTCCCAGCCATGGATTTGAAGAGTTTGCTGATGCCTTCTGAATACGGGGCACAAGTTCTGGATGAGGATGCTACTGGCTTCCCCTCTCTCCCCTTGTCACCCATGGCAACAATCATAACTGGGCCTGGAAACTTGGAGTGAAGTTTCAGGGAGCTGAGAAGACTGTACAGGTCTCAGACCCCTTTAAGCTCCCCCAAAGCCTGGTCTGTCCTCACCTGGCATCTGGGAAAGCAGATGGCCCAGAGCATTCTCTATGTGACTTGGGCTCCAGGGGAAAAGTGCTGAGTATCTGAGGTGCTCTTGTGCTCTTTTCTTCCCAGGCTGCAGTGGAGTCCTCAAACCCGCCCAGCCAAGTGGCCCCGAGGGAGTCCCCCATTACGCGGAGGCTGACATTGTGAATCTGCAGGGGGTTACAGGCAGCAACACCTACTCCGTGCCTGCCATCACTATGGACCTGCTCTCTGGCAAGGATGTGGCTGTGGAAGAGTTCCCTAGAAAACTGCTAACCTTCAAGGAGAAGCTTGGAGAAGGCCAGTTTGGGGAGGTGAGTGTCTTGTCATGGGCTCTTACGTTCTCTCCAAGTCCTGTCTGCTCCTTTGTGCAGTTGTTAGGATGGACCAGAGTCCTGCTGGAACACAGCCAATGACAACAGTGTTCTTCCACCACCAGAGAAAAGTACACCCTGGTGCTGAAGGAGATAAAGGGATCTCTGGTGAGTCACCTGCTGTATGCAGGTAGCCTGCAGCAGAACCACTTTGGGGTGCGGTGGGGTTGTTTCTTGAAAGCTAAGCTGAATGAGCCTCAGTCAGTACCTGGGATGGGGGATCTCCAGGGCACAGCTTGATGCTGCAGGAAGTGATGTATTGTTGTTCAAAAGGTGGTATTGGTCCCTGTAAGTAAGTGCTGAACAAATGCCCATGACTGTAAAATGTGCTGCCCAATTATTTCCTAGGTGCAGGATAAAGGGGTGTTGTCTTTGCCTTCTAATTATATCCCCAAAGTTCATTGTTTGTACCATGAGTCATGATAACCCCTGTAGCTTGCTCTCCAGTGTGCTGCCTTCCCGCTGACTTCACATCCCTCCCCTCCCCCCAACTTGGTATGTCAATGACTCCCATTGCATTAACCTACAAACCTGAAATTACATGTGGACCCACAGAGAGAGGTGAATAAACATCCTTTGGCAGAAAACTGTTAACTCTTCATGCTTTACACTGAGGGTATGTCTACAGTACGAAATTATTTCAAAAAAATTATTCTATTCGAATTTTTGGAAGCTATTTTATACATTCGATCTTCTGTGTCCCCACTAAAGCGTGTGAATTCGGCAGAGTGCATCCACAGTAACAAGGCTAGCATCGAATGTCGTATTGGTGCACTGTGGGTAGCTATCCCACAGTCCTCGTCGCCCATTGGAATTCTGGGTTAAACTCCCAGTGTATGTTCGGGCAAAAACATTCTCGCGGGTGTTTCTGGGTGTGCGTCATCAGAAAGCTACGGCAGACAATCGTTTCGCACCTTTTTGGCGTGCAGACGCCATACTGCTTTCAGCAGATGGTGCACCACTGCTCTCCTGCTACTATGAATCCACCTCTCATTTCCACTCATCTTCCTATATAATCTCTACTATCTACTCTTTCTCTTCCTCATCGAATGCTTCCGCTGCCAACTCTGCTCGGCCATCGTGAACCGAACAGCACAGCTTCTGCTGCCAACTCTGCTCTCCCGCTATTGCCATGCTTCCAAGCTTCTCCATGCTGTCTGTCCTGGGCTCCCGCCTCCGTGAAAGCTACAGAAGACAACCATTTTCAGACTTTGTTCGGCTACCGTGAACTGAACAGCTCAGCTTCCGCTGCCACTCTGCTCTCCTATGTTTCGCGCCCTTTTTCCAGGATTACCTGTGCAGGCGCCATAGCCATGGAGCCTGATCAGATCTCTGCTGCAGTTTTTACCGTTGTAAATACCTCGCGCATTATCCAGCACTATGTGCAAAACTGCAAAACCGGGCGAGGAAGCGACAACAACGCGATTATGGTAATGATGAGGACATGGCCACAGACAGCATGGCATGTGGCGATTGGGAGATCATGGTGGTGTTGGGCCATGTTCGTGCCGTGGAACGCCGATTCTGGGCCCGGGAAACAAGCACAGACTGGTGGGACCGCATAGTGTTGCAGGTATGGGATGATTTCCAGTGGCTGAGAAACTTTCGTATGCATAGGGCCACTTTCATGGAACTTTGTGACTTGCTGTCCCCTGCCCAGAAGCACAAAGACATCAAAATGAGAGCAGCCCTTACAGTTGAGATGCGAGTGGCCATAGCCCTGTGGAAGCTTGCAATGCCCGACAGCTACCAGTCAGTCAGGAACCAGTTTGGAGTGGGCAAATCTACTGTGGGGGCTGCTGTGCTGCAAGTAGCCAATGCAATGATTGACCAGCTGCTATCAAGGGTAGTGACTTTGGGAAATGTGCAGGTCATAGCGGATGGCTTTGCTGCAATGGGATTCCCTAACTGTGGTGGGGCCATGGACAGAACCCATATCCCTATCTTGGCACCGGAACACCAAGCCGGCGAGTACGTAAACCGCAAGGGATACTTTTCAAAAGTGCTGCAAGCACTGGTGGATCACAAGGGACGTTTCACTGACATCAACGTGGGATGGCTGGGAAAGGTGCATGACGCTCGCATCTTCAGGAACTCTGGTCTGTTTGAACAGCTGCAGGAAGGGACTTACTTCCCAGACCAGAAAATTACTGTTGGGGATGTTGAAATGCCTATAGTTATTCTCGGGGACCCAGCCTGCCCCTTAATGCCATGGCTCATGAAGCTGTACCCAGGCACCCTGGACAGTAGTAAGGAGCAGTTCAACTATAGGCTGAGCAAGTGCAGAATGGTGGTAGAATGTGCGTTGGGATGTTTGAAAGCGCGCTGGCGCAGTTTACTGACTCAGTTAGGTCTCAGCACAACCAGTATTCCAATTGTAATTGCTGCTTGTTGTGTGCTCCACAATATCTCTGAGAGTAAGGGGAGACATTTATGGCAGGGTGGGAGGTGGAGGCAACTCACCTGGCGGCCAGTTTCACACAGCCAGACAACGGGGTGATTAGAAGAGCGCAGCAGGGCGTGCTGCACATCAGAGAAGCTTTGAAAGTCAGTTTCATGCCTGGCCAGGGTACGGTGTGACAGTTGTGTTTGTTCCTCTTAAAGTTACCCACCCCCTATATATATATGAAAGGAAATAAAGTCACAATTGTTTAAAAAACATTCCTTATTATTTGTTGCACAAAACATTGAGAGAAATCAGGAGCTAGATGTGGGAGGAGGGGTATTGGTTTAGGGGGATGGAGGAGGAGGGAAGGACAAGTCCAGAAACCAAATCAAAATTTAGGATATGCCAGCTTTCTGCTGCTTGTGCAATCCTCTGGGGTTGACTGTGTGGGTCCCTGTAACCTCCCCCCCCCCCCCCCCGTGTTATTGGGCGTCTGGGTGAGGACGTTATGGAACTTGGGGAGGAGGGAGAGTGGTTATTCAGGGGCTGCAGCGGCAGTCTGTGGTCTTGCTGCCTTTCCCGCATTAGATCCACCATACAGTGGAGCATGTCAGTTTGCTTCCCCATGAGCTTGACCATAGCATCCTGCCTGCTCTCATTGCGCATGCCCTTCTCTCTTCGAATTCATGCTTTACGCAACTCATCCCAGACCAGGGGGATGAGGTGGACGAGGCTTTCTTCCGGTAACTAACGGAAGTTACTAGATCGCAGGCCCTGGTTCTCATGGGAGACTTCAATCACCCTGATATCTGCTGGGAGAGCAATACAGTGGTGCACAGAAAATCCAGGAAGTTTTTGGAAAGTGTAGGGGACAATTTCCTGGTGCAAGTGCTGGAGGAACCAACTAGGGGCAGAGCTCTTCTTGACCTGCTGCTCACAAACCGGGAAGACTTAGTAAGGGAAGTGAAAGTGGATGGGAACCTGGGAGGCAGTGACCATGATATGGTCGAGTTCAGGATCCTGACACAAAGGAAGAAAGGAGAGCAGCAGAATACGGACCTTGGACTTCAGAAAAGCAAACTTTGACTCCCTCAGGGAATTGATGGGCAGGATCCCCTGGGAGAATAACATGAGGGGGAAAGGAGTCCAGGAGAGCTGGCTGTATTTTAAAGAAGCCTTATTGAGGTTACAGGGACAAACCATCCCAATGTGTAGAAAGAATAGTAAATATGGCAGGTGACCAGCTTGGCTTAACAGTGAAATCCTTGCTGATCATAAACACAAAAAAGACGCTTTCAAAAGTGGAAGATTGGACAAATGACCAGGGAAGAGTATAAAAATATTGCTTGGGCATGCAGGAGTGAAATCAGGAAGGCCAAATCACACCTGGAGTTGCAGCTAGCAAGAGATGTTAAGAGTAACAAGAAAGGTTTCTTCAGGTATGTTAGCAACAAGAAGAAAGTCAAGGAAAGTGTGGGCCCCTTACTGAATGAGGGAGGCAACCTAGTGACAGAGGATGTGAAAAAGCTAATGGACTCCATGCTTTTTTTGCCTCTGTCTTCACACACAAGGTCAGCTCCCAGACTACTGCACTGGGCAGCACAGCATGGGGAGGAGGTGGCCAGCCCTCTGTGGAGAAAGAAGTGGTTAGGGACTATTTAGAAAAGCTGGACGAGCACAAGTCCATGGGGCCGGATGCGTTGCATCCGAGAGTGCTAAAGGAGTTGGCGGATGTGATTTCAGAACCATTGGCCATTATCGTTGAAAACTCATGGTGATCCGCAATTGTTTGCCTCCACTCATTCAACTGGGTCCTATCAGTGCGGGAGGACTACATGAGCTCGGCAAACATATCGTCCCGAGTTCATTTTTTCCACCTTCTAATCTGGACCAGCCTCTGGGACAGAGTAGATAGGGGCTGCATTGAAACATTTGCACCTGCTGTGGGAGGAGAAAAAGGGAGGGTAGTATTTTAAAAGATACATTTTAGAGAACAAAGGGGACACTGTTTCTCAGTGAAACAGGCAATTCATAGTACACAGCACATGTTCTTTCTGTACAAGGTTGCATTTTGCTTCCGATACTGAAGGGCCTGCCACTTTGGTGTGAGTAAGCCACCACATGTGGCCAGGCAACAGAATTCATCTTGCAGGCAGCCTGAGGGCTCTCTGGGATGATCGCTTCACACAACACCCTCCTCCACAATACACACACCCACCCACCGCAGGGCTCCAATGAGGATCTGAGCAGGGATGAGCCCTTTAAACTAAACACGAACAGCCCAGCACAGCTGGGTTTCCCTCCACTCCCCACCACATGGCTCTGATCAAGTTCTCAATCACCAGAAGTGCCTTCTCCAGGGTCATGGTCCGGGAGCATGCTTTGGGAGTAGGGGGAGGCTATTAGCTCCAGCGTTAAGAATAGTTCCTGGCTGGGGGGAAAACAGATTCCCCACTTGCTACCTGTGCACTGTCCTCCTCATCCTCCTCCTCCTCCTCTTCATCCTCCAAAAACTCATTCTCCTCGCTCCGTGCTACTCTCCCCTTTCAGTGGG